CATTTGCAAGCACAACCGAAAGGTTGATAAGAAAACAACCACAAAACAACCTAGGAAACCACCCAAAACAATCCAACATAAACAACAAACCAGGATAGTATCATATGAGCACACCCCTGCACCCAAACCAACTAAAGGAAATTTTTTTTGCTTAGCTATCTTCCCTAATGCAAATTTTACTTGTTGCAGGTTGTATATAATCTCAGAAACTGGATAATCTATAGAATAAACAACAGCTTTGATCCACATTGTAACCCTGACTTTAATGACCTCACACAGCTCCACAAGATCTGGATGTATGCCATTAAAGATGCAGTCATTCCTCTGTTTCTAGATGGACCACAACACAGCCACAGGAATGGCCTTTCAGATCACCCTCTCATGTTTTTTCAGTTTAGCACCAGCCCATTAATCTATTAGACTACAAACAGAACCAGGTAGTACCCACTGCAAACCCCACCAATGAATGATATGGGACCAAACCTGCCAAACAAATGGGCAAAACAACAACATATGGTTGATAGTCTCCACCTCCTCATTACAAAAAAATGCAGTTCACATTGGCCACATCAGAAAGAACACCAATTCTTTGCAAATAACTAGAAGTCTTGATTCTCCCTTTCTATGCCAACCAACCAAAAAATTGAGCTTTAGGTGAGGACATATTCTTCCATATAAGATCTGCTACTTTACACACAGGACTAGAAGATCTCTCACACCATTTATAAGCTGAAGAAATAGTGAAGCATCCTGATGGGTCTACATTTCATCTCAAACAATCATCCAAATTTTCCCTAATAGCAGGTGCACTAAGCAGCAATAAGCTCAATATGTTCAATTCCTCTACCTTTCATTGAAAAAATGATCTTCTGAAGTTAAGGTTCCACTCCACCTGGCCATTCCTCCTGATTTGCAATGCCTTCACATATTGAAGTTTGTCTGAAGACAAGGAATAGATCGAGGGAAGTCCTCATTCAAACACACATTACCAATCCATTTATCAAACCAAAAAAATGTTTTTGGATTAGAGTTATTTTTATAGAATTCCACCAATTCAGGCTTGGATCTAGCAACACCCATGATATCATCCCAGATCATTGGTTTCTTATGATTATCAACAGGTAATGGACACCGCCCCCTACCAACCTCAATGTATTTGTTCCAAATTACCTATTTCCAAAGGGCATTTGTTTCAGCTCCAAACGTCTAGCACCATTTCAACAAGAGGCAATCATTCATGAGTCTAATGCTTTTAATCCCAAGACCCCCTTGGTTTTTGCTTTTTGAAATCTCCTCCCATTTGACCAAATGGACTTTTCTTCAAAGTCCACCCCTAACCTATAAGAAGTTGGATTGAATTTTCTCATTTTCCTTAGCAACCCCTCCTGGCATCTTGAACAGAGACAGATAATAAATTGGTAAACTAGACAACATAGATTTTATCAATGTCAATTTACCAACAAATGATAGAAATCTTCTCTTCCATGAAGCAAGTCTTTGTTTGCATTCGTCTATCACTGGTTGCCATGTTCTTTTTCTGCTTGGACTTGCACCTAAAGGGAGTCCTAGATACTTCAGAGGTAAACTTTGATGTGGACAATGCAGCTTACTAGAAAAATCCTTGGATAGTTCTTCAGAGATCCCAATCTCACACACTACACTCTTGTGGTAATTAATTTTCAGCCTAGACAACACTTCAAAACATCTCAAAATCCTTTTTTATGGTGGTTATCTCTCCCCCAATCAGTTTCGCAGAACAGAACTGTGTCATCTGCAAATTGCAAATGAGTGATCTTAAGGTCACTTGAACCTACATTAGCCCCTTTGATCAATCCCATCTGTTGTGCTCTATTTAATAATATATTTAGACCCTCAGCTACAATGTTGAAGAGAAAGAGAGAGAGTGGGTCACTTTGTCGAAGACCTCTTTGTGGGCTAAACTCTGAAGTTGGTGAACCATTAATCAATATTGAAACTTTGGCTGATAATACACATTTCTTCATCCAACACACCTATTTGTTTCCAAAGCCAAAATTTGAATGCATATTGAATAAGAAATTCTAATTACTTGAATCATAAGTTTTTTCAAAGTCTAGTTTTAGTACAATTCCACTCTTTCTATTCTTCTTTTAACCTTCCATAATCTCATTGGCTATCAACACCCTATCTAAGATGTTTCTTTCCCCAATGAACGCTGATTGTGTGACACTAACATTTTTTTTGATCTTGTTTGATAACACTTTTGCCAAAATTTTATACAATGAGCCAATAAGACTAATAGGCTTATACTCATTCAAGTAGGAATGGTTTTCATTCTTAGGAATCAAAACAACAAATGAACTATTAATACCTTTCACCAACTTTGCATTTTGATGAAATTCTCTCATGAAAAGAAACACATCTAACTTTATGACCTGCCAGCACTTTTGAAACATCATAAGATTAAACCCATTAGGCCTTGGGGCCTTGTTTCCTTCACAGCTTTTGACTGCAGCTTTAATCTCAACCTCTGTAAATTCAACTTCCAAGAATTCTACAACCTCTATACCCCCAATGGATTTGAATGGGCCAGATAAACTAGGCCTAACAAACTATGATTTAGTAAATTGCACTACAAGAAAAAACACTTTTGGCGACCACCTATTTTTTTTGATCGCAAATAGTCCACTTTCTGCGACTAAAATTTAACTTTTGGCGACCACAATTTTTTGGTCGAACTATGATTTAGTAAATTGGTTTATAAAATGTTGGTTAACTTCATCTCTTACCTCCACAGGATCCTCCTTGATAGTCCCATTAATGGTTATTGAGCACAAAGAGTTTTTGTTGTTTCTAGAACTTGCCATAATATAGAAAAACCTTGTATTCCTGTCTCCTTCTATTGTCCACTTGATCCTAGATTTTTGGACCCATGCCCATTCCACCATTTTATTTAGTTTCCAAGCTTCTCCTTTTGCCTCCCTTCTTCAAATTTGCTCCACCTCAGTTAATCATCTTTCTTCAACAAATATATCAAGTGAATGAATCTCTTCTTCAACTATTCACTTTTGTTTATTTATATGTTATCCACCATTTGCATTAATTTTAATGACTTTAACCTTACTAAAATGAAAGTAAGTGTAATTATGTTAAACTTATGGGACTAATTGTATTTTTGTTAAGATTCAAGGGCAATGAGTGTCATTTACCCTATTTTGAATTAGTATTTAAGGAATGTTAATAAATGAACTTACAGTTTACATAGTTTTGTGGTTAATCACTCTTTTAATCCTGTTTTCTGACTTAAACTTTATTTGTCTTTATTATTTTAAATTGAACAGCTTGGTCCCTATACTTTAAATTTAGTTTCAGTTTAGCCTTTTTGTTCAAGTTGAAGGTTAAAATTACAATAATGCTAGGCATCAATGAAAGAAATATCATGAAGATTCGCCACCCTTGAATTATTTTGTAGTGTTTTATTGTAGAGTAATATTGGCACCCTTGGATTAGTTTCATAAACTTTTTTATGATATTTATTTCATGATGCGTAACATTACTCTTAAAATTAACGATTTGAAACATTAAAATGTTAACAAAAATTTAGAGGGAAGGACCAAATCGAACTAAATTTGAAGTGTAAGAACTAAGTTGTTTAAGTTAAAACTATACAGACGAAAATAAAATTTAAGACAAACTATACAAAAAAGTATAAGTAACTCTAGATTTATTCATTTATTTTGATCGGCAAATGTTAGTTGTTAGTTGTTAGATTAGCACCTATGTGAAAAAAACTCTCCACCCTTAGCAAAGCACCTAAGTGCTTGCACATCCTAAATTCACCCCCTAAAAAGAATTGAACTCATAACCTCCTTAGGACTAAACCCTAAAGAAGGCATGCAACTTTGTGGTTTTCTCTGGATTACTAGATTTTCAAGGAGATTATGACTATATGAGATGTAAAAGCAAGTGATATTGCTATAATGGATGGAATTTAATATTTTCCCCAAAAAAATGTGAAATGCATTGTAGAGATGCATAATTGAATTAAGTTTTGCACTATTGTTGGTGTATTTGAATATTAAATTGACTATTTGATTGATTAATTAGTTAATGAATAATTTGGTGTAATGGGTGCATAAGGATGAGTTATATGGGAGTTACTACAGAGTTAAAATATGTGAATATGTAAGGTTCTCACATTAGTTAGATGAGAGAAGATGAAAAAGCTTATAACCAGCCATCTATGTTATTGGGCTTGAATCTAACATGCAGTAATCCGTGGACGTGGAGGAGGAACAAGTGGAGAACTTCTCATTTATTGGTTTGTTATGTACATTTTAATATGTTATTTACACAACTTTATTGGGCTACTTATTGTGACCCATTAGCTCTCATTTCTCAAACATTATAGACTATAATCAATACTGTTTAATTGGTGGTAAGCCCATGTAGCCTATAAATTGACCATTTTGACACTACTCTTGAGAGGTTACAGACTAAAGAAAAGTGTGTTTCTGATGAAGTTTTGAGCTCAACATCTTGTGTGTGTGTGAGCTCTATGACTCGATCGGACTGTTATATCTTGGAAGGGACAAGTAAATATAATTGCACCAGTTTCCTTAGCCTTGTCGAACCACAATGGCTTCAATCTCATTTGAAATGAAATTGATTAAATTAGTTAGCTTGCTTGCTTGCTTCAAATTTTCCATCGCCTAGATGTTTTCGGGTAGTTTAATATGGTATTTAAGTTATAACCCCTTTAAATGCAAAAGGTGTGTGCTTCCATGTTTTTGGAACCATCATCTTTTGCGTGTCTGTTTAAACTTCTAGATTATGTCCTAAATATATATATATATACATGTAATATTAATAATAATAAAAAACGTACAACCCACAATAGCAAAATAGAAAAGAGTGTTTTTTCTTTTTTCTTTTTGCTTGAGAGAGGAAGAGAGAGAAGATTGCATTTTCCATCCTTCACTAAGGGGATGCTCCCTTCTATGCTTCCCTTGTGTAGTTCAATGGTAGATAAGGGCACACAAGATGTGATCATCGTTGGAGCTGGTGTAGCTGGTTCTGCTCTAGCTCACACTCTTGGAAAGGTCTCTCTCTCTCTCTCTCTCTCTCTCTCTCTCTCTCTATATATATATAGTTGAATCAAAATTGTGTAACTATCAACATTTTAAGTCAAGTTACAATGTCACTGTTTCATTCATTTAACGTTAATGAGGCTAACAAAAATTGACATATGTGCTATACATGACAATTTTCAAAAGGTAAATTAAAACTGGAACCAAATAATGAGATTCTAGTCAAAATGTTGAGGTAAATGACAAGAACAATATCACGTGTCTCCGGTGGTGACTTGAGGAATTTTTTTCAGGGTAGACATTCAAAAATTTAATTTTTTAGACTTTTCAAATTACATACAAATAAATAAATAAAATAAAATTCTAATATATTGATATCATTGTTTCAAAAAATAAAATGTAGATACAAAAATTTACATAAACGTATTTTGTTTTTATCACTCGCATGATAAAAAAAAATGAAGAAAACTTCCTTAATTTAAATTGAGATAAAATATAAAACTGCTGATCAACATTAACATTCAAGTGGTACACTTGTTGATGATTGCAAAATCACACAATTTTGTCAAAGAGGTACTTTGCACAGGCTGGGAAAGCAAAACATATTGTGTGTTCACTTCACAAAATACATATATTTGATTAAATGGTCATGAACTGGGTTGGGTTAGATGTACAAGAAATTGGGCTGGGATGAGTAAATTCCAAGATGTTCAATTGAACACCCACCCTTACATGTAGAGTCGCCCTTGTGCGTCTCACATGTCAATTTCCATCTTCATTAATATTAATGGACAGAAATATGACATTGCAATTTAATTTTAGATTGATTGTCATAATTAAAAATAAAGAAAGCAAAATTTTGACAAAACATATGGGGTACTAAGACTCACTCAATGCTTAAACCTATGTTTAAACATTAGAGGTTATTATGAAATTATGCATAAGACTCACTCAATGCATTAAAAAATATGATTGAGTTCTCTCAAATTTAAATATGATATACATAGAAAGTCTTATAAAATGAATAATTCGGAATTTGAAATATGACTCGGAGTGGACCTTACAATGCCAAAAATGATCGTCAAGTTTAAATTCAAACTGGAGACACTACAACATATAAGAGTTTTAGACACCAAAATGTTTTGGTCATTAAAAGTGAAAATTTTGTTGCAAAGACATTTAAGGACCAATTTCTAACGTTATGAGGATAGTTGCTAAAAAGTCGTCCTAAAAATAAAAAACAAGACTTTTAGCGACAAAATTTTGAAAATGTCACTAATAAATAGACTTTTAGGGACAAAATAATTTGGTCTCAAAATGATTTATTTTTTGAGACAAAAAATTTGGTCCCAAAAGGATAATAATTCTTCACTAATATCTAATTTTCGTTACTAAAAATATAATAACGATACTTTTCCCAACAAAAATATTTTGTAACACCCTGGAAATACATACCATAACAAACAATGATAACATGATCATTTAATTCCAAAAGGTCGTCTTTCTCATTGAACTATTAATGAATGGATTACAATTTGAGAAATACATTCCCACAATATTCAAAGTCGTTTTCAGTTCAATGAATTAGATAACTTGTCAAAACGTAGGCCCCTTGGGCGTATAAGATCACCAAATACATAAGGTAGTTCTATTACAAAGTCCCAAAATAAAACGATTGAAATACTTCTTGACTTTAGTTTCTCCCCAAAAAGATAATGAACATAGTGCTTGAGCCAAATTCTTCAATGAGGCTGAACTTCGTCATTTCCTAAAAAGTGAATTAGGGTTGAGCTAAATGCCCAGTAGGAATATATTTACCTAGGTATCTAATCATTTGAACAAGATTGTGGCAGTTATGAGATAAGACAGTACAATAAAATTCGTATTCACAGATAATCATCAACAATTCACAATGAACCGTAATAGTATAACACAGACAATTGCAGTTCATAACTTCATGCACAACTATTAAGCATTCACAACCATGGAGTTCATATCCCACATTCATCTACATGAGTCCAAGTGAGAACAACCTTCACTTTTACTTTTAGAAAATAATCCCGACATTTACCGGCTATTATACGGCGAGAAGTGGGCACCCTAAGGAAAACCTTCTGTTTTTCCACTTTCGCCAACTATTATACGACGGAATTATGTGGACACCCCAAAACATTTTCCCACATTCGTCCAGCCATAAGCCCAAACAGGGCATTTGGACACCTTTTTAAACTCCTCGCGCGGGTACCAACACAACGCCACGTTTACCCAATACCGACTCACACTCAGACTTATGCATGCTTAACAATTAAATCACATTTCAATCTCCAAATCAAACATCAAACATCACCAAGGATGAACATCACATATAACTCAAGGAATAATAACATTCAAGCCACAATTCCTTTAACTACATCAATATCCACATTTCCATTGTATTTAGTATTTTCTACTCCATTTGGGAACTTAGGGTTTCACCTAATTTGGGGGTTTCTCTTCTTTGTCACCAATCTAGATTTTAATAACATTTACCCTCATATCTTAAAGAAAGAATTAAGAGATTTCACACAAAATGTTAAGCAAATGAATTAATATAAGAAATAAGGGTTTAATCCAACAAAATCTTCAATTAGTTCGCAAATCACACACAATACTATGAAATCTCTTCAAAATGAAGACATACAAGGATAAAAGTATCCATACCTCAACTATCAAGCCAAAAACCCAAGCTTCTTCACGAATCTATTGCAAACCCACAATCAAATTGGTAGGTGATGATATTCTTCAAGTGTTCTTCACCCCTAGCAAGCAATTTTGGGTGTATTTCAAAGGTATGAGAGGTATTTGGTGGTAGGAATCTAGGGTTTCTGTTAGTAATGGGCGCCCATGTGGCATGACCATTTGTATTTGAATTTGAATCTTATCCAAATAGGTTTTGAAATTGAATTCAAACCTATTTAGGATAACCACTCAGGATACAGATATTATCTCCATTAACTGATATGGATAGATAGTAATAACATATTATATATCTGGTATATGGGTTATGGGTGAAAGAGACAGAAACAACGTATGATCTGAGTTTTACCCATATACTGACTCTCTCCCAAAAAAAACAACGATCAAGTCATTTGCACTGTGATTTGTGTGGGTGATATTCATTCTGTAATATCACTTCACTGCTGGGTTGGTTTATCAGATTCTGGAAGCACGTGATTTACCCACGAGGTTCTATCATTTAAAGGTACGATCTAAATATTTTATCTGTTGCATTTTTTATACTTTGATTTACATTGGTATCAGAGCCATAAATATGGGTATTTTGAATCTTATCCAAATAGGTTTTGAAATTGAATTCAAACCTATTTAGGATAACCACTCAGGATACAGATATTATCTCCATTAACTGATATGGATAGATAATAATAACATATTATATATCTGGTATATGGGTTATGGGTGAAAGAGACAGAAACAACGTATGATCTGAGTTTTACCCATATACTGACTCTCTCCAAAAAAAACAACGATCAAGTCATTTGCACTGTGATTTGTGTTGGTGATATTCATTCTGTAATATCACTTCACTGCTGGGTTGGTTTATCAGATTCTGGAAGCACGTGATTTACCCACGAGGCTCTATCATCTAAAGGTATGATCTAAATATTTTATCCGCTGCATTTTTTATACTTTGATTTACATTGGTATCAGAGCCATAAATATTAAATAAGCATAAAAATACCCATATTTATGGCTCTGATACCAATGTAAATCAAAGTATAAAAAATGCAGCGGATAAAATATTTAGATCATACCTTTAGATGATAGAACCTCGTGGGTAAATCACGTGCTTCTAGAATCTGATAAACCAACCCAGCAGTGAAGTGATATTACCGAATGAATATCACCCACACAAATCACAGTGCAAATGACTTGATCGTTGTTTTTGGGAGAGAGTCAGTATATGAGTAAAACTCAGATTATATGTTGTTTCTCTCTTAATCACCCATAACCCATATACCAGATATATAATGTGTTATTATTATCTATCCATATCAGTTAATGGAGATAATATCTGTATCCTGAGTGGTTATCCTAAATAGGTTTGAATTCAATTTCAAAACCTATTTGGATAAGATTCAAATTGTTCTATCATCTAAAGGTATGATCTAAATATTTTATCCGCTGCATTTTTTATACTTTGATTTAAATATTATGGTCATACCTTTCAATCAGAGCCTGAATTGAAGGATCTCGTGGATAAATCACGTGCTTCCTGAATCTAGTCAATCAACCCAGCAGTGGGGTGATATTACAATAGTGAATATCACCCACACAAACCACAGTGCAAATGACTTGATCGTTGTTTTTTAGAGAGAGTCAGTATATGGGTAAAACTCAGATCATACGTTGTTTCTCTCTTAATCACCCATAACCCATATACCAGATATATAATGTGTTATTATTATCTATCCATATCAGTTAATGGAGATAATATCTGTATCCTGAGTGGTTATCCTAAATAGGTTTGAATTCAATTTCAAAACCTATTTGGATAAGATTTAAATTCAAATTCAAATGGTCACGCCACATGAGCGCCCATTACTAACATCATGATTCGGCCTTAAGGGACATCACTGGGAAAGCGGTCAATCCTAAACTAAATGGCATGAGGGCAAAGAGAAGATCATCTAGTATTACACCACCGTTGTATATTCACTGTCGGCAACTCACATCGCTCTGTATGAAAAGCGAATTGAGTGTGAATATATTGCAAGAATTGAGAGGGTCAAACATGCTCTTTTTGAGGGATTAGAGATGTTTTTTGGACCGGTGTAATTAGATGGGTCTGGGGTATATGAGACACTATTTCTATTCTTTTTGGTTTGATGTCTCTATGTTGGCTCATTTTGATTTTCTAGTATAGAGCTCCCACATGCAGGTGTTCTCAGCAGTCGCACGGTGCAGTGGCTAGTATGAGATTGTTTATATTTTGGGAGATTGAGATAGAGATG